TCAAAATTTATCCAAATATTTGCAAAAAATAATCGAAAAATCTTAAAATTATCCAAATAATTTTTGCCGGTCCCTGATCAATTATTACCATCAAGTAACGTGACATAATATTAAAATGATCTACGGTAATACTGTACTATATGTTGAGCAAACTTCAAAAATATTAAAATGAATTAACAACCTTTTTCGATTAGGGCGTTTGGACAAGTTTTACTACTTAGCCAAAGAACAAGGATATCGTGCCCGTTCTGCATTTAAGCTTATTCAATTATATAAAAAATCTAATTTTTTAGAAAAGTCCCGATGTTTGATAGTTTTATGTGCTGCACCTGGAGGTTGGTGAGTCCATACTGTTTATGTTGAATGATTTAGAGTTTTGTATATTTCATTAAAATTTTTAATCCCACCAAAGGTTACAAGTTGCGAAAAAATATATGCTTGTATCAAGTTTAATTATTGGTTTGAAAAATTCTTAATTGAATCGATCTTAAAGAGTTTTGAATTTTATAATATTTTTAATCCATATTTAAATTTGATCAAAAGGTGTTGATCTTATACCTATTAAACCAATTTCAAATATTATAACTTTACAAGAAGATATTACTACTGATAAATGTCGTTCTGCAATTCGAAATGAATTAAAAACCTGGAAAGCTGATGTGTAAGTAATCATTTATAATATTAATTATACTTTAACATTTTAAATATGACAACTTGATTATTTTAAGAGTGCTTAATGATGGTGCTCCAAACGTGGGTATTTATTGGTTACAATATGCTTTCTCTCAAGCTGATTTGACATTGAAAGCGTTGAAATTGGCTGTAGAATTTTTGAACAAAGGAGGTTCTTGTCTATTTACATTAATATAATTGTTTTCTAGTACATAATATAATTGTTATCTAGTACTTTAATATTATGTGCATACTTATTTCTCTAACTTGGTGATTGTTTGATATTATATAGGCACATTTATGACTAAACTTTTCAGATCCAAAGATTATAACAATTTGATCTGGGTTTTTAACCAATTATTTAAAAAGGTAGAGACTACAAAACCGGCTTCATCGAGGTACATTATATTGATATTTGTCTATTCTTTCTAAGCATAATCTAAAATTTTTTACTATAAATATTAGAAATGTTTCGGCAGAAATTTTCGTTGTTTGCCGTGATTTTCTTGCCCCTAAAAAAATTCACTCGAAATTTCTTGATACTCGAGCAGTTTTTCAAGAAGTTGAGATTGAATCTGTAAACAAACCTACTGATGTTTTACATCCAGAAAAAAGAAAACGATAATGAGAAGGTTACGAAGATGGAAATTATACTTTATATAAAGAAATTTCTGTCATAGATTTCATTAATTCCGATGATCCTATTCAAATTCTTGGTGATGTTAATAAATTGAAATTTGATACTGAAAAAGCAAAAGAATAAGTTATATAATTTATGATTAAATTTTGTTATTTTGCCTTTTTTGTATTAATTATTTATTACTTAGGTTATTAAATCATGAATTTACAACCGAAGAAATAAAAATTTGTTGTGATGACTTAAAGGTTTTAGGCAAAAAAGAATTTAAAACCTTTTAAAATGGCGAAATATCGCTAAAGAAAAAGTATGAATCATTTTATTGTTATTTGGTTCTGTCTGTTTGTGAATAACTCTTTTTTGTTTTTCAAGAAGCAGGATCCATCAAATGATGAAAATTCTACTAAAAATTTGACTAATAATGACGAAAAAGTTGATGAAGATCAGATAATTCAAGATGAGGTTTTATATCAATTCATTTATAACTTTGGTGTGTCTATTTACTGTATGCTAATATCAATTCAATATAGCTTGATAAGCTCACTAAAGAAAACCAAGCTCGATTAAAACGACTCCGTCGAAAAGCTAATGAAAAACGACAGAAAAATGTTGTTCGAATGTAGTTAAAGATGATTTCCCCACCGATATAATGCATTAGAGAGTTAGGTCCTGATGGTGGTGATCCATTATTCGATTTAAAACAAGTTGATAAAACTGGGGTATATGTCTCAGATGTTAAAGATGGCGTAACTAAGTCTAATGGTCATTCTTTAAAACGTAAAGCTGATGATGTTAGTAGTCCCAAAGTATCAGATGGTTACAACCGCATTCATAGGTATAAGATCGCATCAATTCTTTATTATAGATTGGAGAAGACGCAAATGATGATATTGAAATAGTTCTTAGAAACAAAGATAGCGATGAAGAAATGTGGGATGCCAATGAAGTTGATGAAGACGAGAAAAAAATGATGAGAGCAAAAGGTATAAAATGTGGGATGCCAATGAAGTCGATGAAGACGAGAAAAAAATGATGAGAGCAAAAGGAATAAAATATGGGGGCTGGTATTCGTACCTCAGTAAAAATAAAATTTTTTAAAACCTATGCCGAAGATATCTCGACAATAACCTTATCAATTTGATAAAAAATTTTTTATTTAAATTCTATGAATTCATAGAATTCAAATAAAAAAATTTTATCAAATTTGATCAGGTTGTTGTCAAAATATCTTCGCTCAAAGTTTAAAAATATTCAGCGCATCTCTTATTTTGATTGGTGGTTTGATTTTCCTTTAACTTTGAGCGAATATATCTCATTAACTACCTGGCCAAATTCGATGAATTTTTTTATATGAGTTCTATGAATCCGTAGAATTCAAATAAAAAAAGTTTCATTAAATTTGATCAGGTGGTTGTCGAGTTATCTTCGCTCAAAGGTTTAAAAAAAATTAGGCGCAGCTTCTATTTTGATAAATTTGAGCAAAGATATCTCGATAATTACTTCACCAAATTCGATGAAACTTTTTTTATTTAAATTCTATGGATTCATAGAATTCAAATAAACCAATTTCATCGAACTTAGTCAGATTGATATTGAGATATCTTCGCTCAAGGTTTGAGAAAAATCTAAATGCCTAACCATAGCTGCCGCAACAAAATTGGACCGGCAGCAGGGACACGGAAAATTCCGGTTTGATTTACAAAAAATTCATTGTGATTTGGCTAAAAATCCGGTTTACACCGATATAAATTTTTTATTTATTGTTAATATTATATGCCATTATAATACAGTACTAAAGTTGAAAACCTGCGAGTGAAAGCTTAGTTACACCATAGCAAATTTAACATCAGCAGAATTGTGTACATTCACATTTCGATAGATCACTAAATATAATATCAATTCTTTAGGGCTAAATTTGCTATTGTAAAAATTTTAAATTATTACTACAGGTTTCATGACTTTGAAAAAATTTAATGCTTCAAGAATTGTTTTTTATAACTGACACGTTATATTTGGACTTTCTTAAGACATTATTGCCTCTTTATTATCACCGAAGCTCTCTACATACAAATTCAAAAGAACCTATTAGAATCGATACTATCTAATTTATAATATCTAAGATTTATTGTTGATTTGAACTAATCAAAAGTAATTTAAATCCCAACTCAAAAAATTCCGGTTTATACAGTGTGGGACAGCAAGAGACATCCAATGTCTATTAATATAACTTTTTTAAAACAAGCTAAATCAAAAAACCCTCTAACAAATTGATAGATTTTTAGATAAACTACAATTCTGTTAGAGGATTTTTTTTTATTCTTTGTTTTAAAAAAGTTATAAGAGATTAAAGTTTATATGAGTTCAAAAAATTGGTGTTTAATATAAAAAAAAAGAAAACATACTGTATATAGGTTTTTAACCAACCAAAATTAATTGCTCAAAATTAGCCAATCAGAATTGATTATATAAGCACCAAAAATTGGTGCTTATATATGTCTCTTGCTGTTTCACACTGTACCTTTTTACATTAGAAATTCCATTTTATTCATATTGTTATAATGCTACAGCCTTCTTGATCACCATGTAGCAAGATAACAAGGTCACCCAGTGCAGAAATCCTACTATTGGAGTGTATACAGGGTAGAAGTAAAGTGTGCTCTAACTTTTGCAATGGTTTGACATAGAGACAGTATATAAATTAATTACTTTATTGTTTAGAGTATAGCAAAGAACTCTTAATTTCTAGGTAAAGTGATACAAAAATTATTTTTTTGATACTTTAAAAATATTTTTTCTGATGTATTTATAATAAAAACATCAAAAAAGTAACTTTAAAATTTTTGTTTGTCTCTACTTGCATATTGTGTAATATAACAAACTATATACTGTATATATTTTTACTATACAGTAATATAATTGGGCAAAAATATGCAAGTATGTTATACAAAGCACAGTATATTAGTTTTGTAAAAATAATTTTTGGTCACATAAAACTAATGTTGTGTAATATTATACAAATAATTTTTGTAATTAGGTTCATTTAAACAAAATTGTGTTTATTTGAACAAAATTAGGTTTATTTAAACCTAAAACTAGACAAGATCTGGTTTAAAAACTAGAATCAGATTTATTTGAACCAAGATTGAGCTTATTTAAACCAAAACTAGGTTCTCTAATATAAAAAAAACAAAAAGTGAATAAATAAATAAAAGCAAAAAGTATTTAAAATATTGAATAAAAAAATTTTGGTACTGCTACAAGGTAGTGATTTTTGCTTTGGACTTATAATAGTTTCTATTTACTAGTTTATTATAAGTTAATAAAGATAATCTCACCTACTAGGATTACTCTAGAGAAAGTATATTATACTATACAAAAACAAGAAGTATAAAAAGGTAAAGCTAGATTCTATGAGAGGATAGGGAATTCTCCAACTAACTCCCTTTAGTAGAAAGTGCAAAGGCTTTTTTTTTATAACTTTTTTACATATAAAAGATATAACAGCTAAACAGTATAGTGGACAACCTATATTATACAAGCTTCCAGATCTGAAAATCATGACTCAAAACTGATATGTCCAATAAAAGTACAATGATGATCAATTATATGAAATTAAATAATTGGTTATATCTATATATGTGATAACTAGCCAATTAATTTTTATAAAAATTACAATATTCGAAAAATTTTTATTTACTAACTCAAAGATATCTCATAATCCAGAAGTTAGAATTTGATAAAACTTATACTATTCGATTTGTTTTAATAAGATGAATCAAATGATTTTTTTTTTTTTTTTTTTTTTTTTTTTTTAATTCGGCAGTCATGCTTTATTAGGCTTTGTACGAATCCTCTAGACTTGTAAAATTTTACACTAAGTTACATTTTAGAAGATAAGTGATAAACTCTTAACTTGTCGGCAGATAGCATATGAGAACTATCTCTAAACGACAAGTGCCGTAGCATTAAACCCAATGTTACCTACATTACAAGTTAAAACTAACCC